TAACATATTCACTGATTTTGATAAAAAATATGGTATACTAATTTATTCATTATATATTGATATAATTAATATCTACACTAATAAAAGAGAAAGATGCAAATTGCCCATACCTTCACAACACCCACCAGCCAATCAGGAGTGAGTATGCCAATTAACCCAACAAAGATGGTGGGTAATTTGCATACACAGGCGTCAAGCGCTGGGGGGTGGGTGGGAGGCACCATGCAAGCGCTCTGCACTGCCCCAGCCTCTGGGGGCCTGTGGGAAGGCAGAAAGGCAGATCTGGCCTCAGCGAGGTGAGGAAGGTCATTCTTACATAAATCTTTGTGCACTGGGCCTCTAGTATATTATAAAATAATAGGTGAATTAACTGCCTAATGTAAAATGTAAAAATATCAAATAGCAATTTGTGTAAGACAAATGATATACAAAAACTTCATATCTATTACTTTTCATGATTGTGCTTTTTGTCTTAAATATTCCCATATTTTAAAGCCTGAGAGATATCCTACGTATTTCCTTGTAAGTTTTTAAACCTTTACATTTTACATTAGGCAGTTAATCCATTATTATTTTATTACTTATCCAAAATTCACCAGTTTATCATCAAATAGCCATAATAAATGCATTCAAATATCTTTGACATTTTTCCAAGTCAGTCATAAAAATAGCTTTACATATATTTTTCTATTTTGTTGCAATGGTGGTATATTTGTGAGGTTGAAGACTAGAACATTTTATTTCACAATTTTAAAACTTCATTAAAAGGCGTAAATACTTAAATATACAGTAGGGGCCTCCATTTGTACTCTGCCTGGGTCCAGTAACCTTTGGGCCAGGTCCACACCCGGAAACAACCTCAAGTTAAGTGTAATTTACAAAGTGGTCCGCGACAAGGATATAGCACAGAATTACTTGAGGCCCAGAGGCATGTAAAGCTAACAAGTTGATTTAGTTTCTAAATCTACTTTTGTGCAAGTCAGCCAAAGAAAAGGAAAATTAGCATCCACACAGGCAGATTTTTAAAAGTAAGGAAACAGAACAATCCAGGCACTCCTCCCTCCCCCCTCCTCGGAAGACTGGATTCACTGGAGCCAAAAGGGGAGTACTCTCCATTCAGCGGGCACACATTCGCGCCTGCAAGCAAAGGCGACCTCCAGGAGGAAACATGGCTCACCCCCTTTCCCGCATCAAGAGCACACAACTAAAGCAGCCTCAGCACACACCACCTCACCAACAAGGAACGAGGCACCGCGCCGGAAGCCCCGACAGAATAACTGCAAGAAGCGCCGGGCCTGCGCGTCCACCCAGCAGGCTCCGCGCCCTGGTCGGCTCCGTGTGCAAGCTGGCAGAAAACGGCTAAGGGTTAAAACTCCCAGCAGCTTCACAGAGCCCGGAGGCAAAGCCGGACGCACACACGCAGCCATAGTTCAATACAAGGTCCTCGCTACATGCAACGTTTCCCAAATGTGAGCCGCTGGCCAAGAGGGAGGGCAACACCTTCTGTAACGACTGAAGTGTTAACGCAACTATCTAATAAAGCACGCGTCATGCCGCCCCGACATTCAGCATAGAGACCCATTTTGTTCTGACCACTATTCGGATACAGGGGGCCTCGGAACAGAGCCTGAAAGAGGGATCCAGGGGCAGCCAAGCAGACAGCGCAGGCCCTGAAGGCCCGCGGGGCGGGGCCTGGGGCGGGCAACATCCTCCCGAAGTGGG